TCTGGGTGTTCCTGGTTTGGTTTTTATTATTTTTTTTTTTTAATATTTCTCTGTCCTCTGTTGTGAGAGACTTGCACAAACACGAGGAACATGACTTTAGACAAACCTGCAAGATGTGAACAAAGAACAGTAATTCAGGTCTTCAAAAGGTGTTACTTGTAACCAGGAAGACAGATGAAGTGAGGGTGTTTTGTTTGGTTTTTTTGTTTGGTTGGTTGGATTTTTTTGTGGTTTGTTGTTGTTGTTGTTGGTTTGGGTTTTTTTTCCTTCCTCCTTCAAATTCCTCCTCTGTTTTAACCCAGGAAAAGTTCTAACTGGTGACTGTGCAGATTCTAGGGATGCTGGCTGTTAAGAGAGAACACTCAGCACTGTGCCTTACTGCTTTGTGTCTTTTGCTAACAATTAATCCTTGCAAGAGCTGCTGGTTATTCAGGGGTGCTTGCCCTGTCTTTGGGACATCTGCAAATGCCTTTAAGCAGCCTGGCCCGGCCCATTTTGGGTTCACCAGCCTTTCCCACACACAACAAACATTCCACATTGTCAAATTGGTACTTTCCCATATTTGTTCTGTCACGCCAGAACTGTATCTGGCCAGGGATAGCATATTCTGTTGACAACTCACTTGATGTGAAAAGGCCAGTCCCATCACTGGGACCTTCAGGGTGTCCGTCACCACAGGAGGAGGGGTCTGAAAGTGTGCCTTTGTGACAGTAAAAACACACTGTGCACAGACACAGACACACAGAGGAAACAAGGAAAAGAGAGAGTGAGAGAGGGGGGAGACAGAAAGAGAGAGAGAGAAAGAGAGAAGGACTTCAGAGAAGAACTATAAAGAGTTGGATGAACTGAATGCTAGTGAGGAGGTTGTGGCTGCAGGAGCCACACCTGCCCGTGGAGCAGAAGGCTCAGCAGTGCCAGAAGCACATCTGGTTGGTGAAGGATCAACTGTGCTCCAATCTCAGAGAACCACTCAACGCAGGCAATATTTTAAGAGTCCAGTGAACGCTGACAGAAAGTAACTGCCAGAGATTGTTCCACAGCTAATTAGAATCGGCACCAGCCAATTAGCAAGGAGGAGGCTGAGTGGATGGCAGAAAGGGCAAGAGGGTTTTTTTGGTACGTGGGTGTTTTTGTTTTTTTTTTTTAAACATTCAAATGACACGTATTTGAGTACTCTCTCCATCGACACACACTCCAGTTCTTCAGTGATTTGGGGGATCATATCTTGGCAGGTCTCTGCTACACCCTTGGAATAAAGGGACCCAGACTAAGGTGCAATTCAAAGGCATTGATATGGAGAGAGAACACCCTCAAAGAGGAGTGATGCTCCACAAGTGGACGCTGTCTCAGAGAGGGTACTGATGCAAAAAGGGCAATCTAAACCTTGTTCAGTCCCGTACCTTCTCCCAGCCATTTTTCTACCAACAGTTTTCAGTTTTATAAAGGTTTCATTTCTGGGTATTATCCGTGGCCAGACTTCTGAATTTTGGGCTGTTCCACAACACACACAGAGGTGCTATGCAAGCCCACAGGGAGAAGGTAATGCTCTTCCCCTGTATCATGCAGGTTAGGTCTCATTTCTACTGGGAAGGAAGGCAGAGATTTGGACAATCTGCCTTCAGAACCACACATCTCCCAGTATTTTCCTACACATTACATTGTATACAGAAAGCAGGAGAAAGAAATTAGCTTTTTGGTTTTTTCTTCCCCCTTCTAATTTACTTTAGAGACCACTCTGCCAAGACAGCCTTACATTTCTAACTGTGGTAACAAAGACTGGCAGTTGCTTTATAAATAAGTGCAGAGCATGTGGCAACTATGAGCCACAGGAAAGGCAAGAACTTCATATGAATCCTCAAGGTTCATCTGGTTTCATAAAGCTTTTCCCCTCAGGGACAGCAAAGCTTCATGTCCCCTGGGGAAATGTCAACTTCCATGTATTTATATACACTATTAGTGTTAAGTAGCACTGGCAGGAGCAAGCCAGTGGAAATCTCTTGAGGAACCCTTCTGAATTTCACCCTCTTTGTGAAAAGGCAGGACACAACTCGGCTGCAAACTCCTCTCCTGAGCTGTGTATGGCACGACAAGAAAAGCTTTATTCCATCAGACTTACCATGAGCGTTGGCTGATTAGTTCGACACTTGGCACAAAAATGGTCCCTAAAAAAAGCTCATTTCTGGCTCATTCATAGGGTAGAATACATTCTGCTAAGCCAGCCATACTAATTCCTCTGAATCAGTAGACAGACCCATAGCAAATTCTCTCAGTTTGGATCAGCATTCCAATTCTACTTCCTTCTATGTTTCACATCCACAGCAAAAGAGATTTAGAGTCTTTAGATTGTCTTTAAAGTCCAGTAGAGCCATCTGCTTGGCTGGACAACAAGGCAGGACATTCTTGAGTGTTTAAAGCTATAGAAAACCAGCCAAATCTAGGCAAGTCTTCAAAATGCAGAGCTGTGGAGTCAGATATACGAAGACAGTAAAAGAAGGAAGAATTGGAGTTTCTGGTTTTTTGAAATTCAGAAGGAAACCATTATCTATTGATTTTAAAATTGAATTAGTTAAATGAATTAAAATGAAATTTGCATGGGTAGGTGGAAGCACAGAGTATTAAGTCCCTAGCTCAATATTATGACCCAGTTTGTTTGCTGATACTTATTCCTGCTGCCCCAGCTAGTTCTAGATGGCCCAACACATACAGCTTTTGTCTTTTTCCTGCTTTTCCATTCTGCAATGCAGAAAATATGGCTGTGCCATAAGCATTTTCCTGATATTTCAGTGCTTCTTTCTCAATGTCAGTCTGTTACCTCTACTTATGCTTTAATAAATCTCTTGAATTCCTCTTACTGCAGTATTGGTACATGAATGTGTAAATGCTCTGCTGTATCTTAGCCCAGCTACAGGAGTAGGTTCTTTTAATCTTTCTCAGTACTTTGGTCTTTCTAGTCCCCTAGCATTTCCTTGAAATTAGCATCTAACTAGGTTTTAGTCAGAGTGTAACGATATAAATAATGCACACGTTCAATTTTAATTAGCAGTAGGAGGCTGCCTGTTTGCACAGCAGTTGATGTAGGAGCATGCACACTACCCTAATAGTGATTGTTGTATCTAGGAGTAAAAAGAGCCTGGCATCTCTTACCTGAGATGGAGGAGAGGTGGAAAAAGACGTGGTACACACTTCTTGGGAATCTTCTACGGAGGGGTAGACTGCACCATTGTCCTCGCCAGCTCTAAAGTAGCAAGAAAAGCAAAGCTTCCTAACTGGAAATGTTCCTTAAAACAAGCAGGTGGTAAAACAGGCTGGGACAAACACTGCAGGGAGGTTGAGAGTATTTGGGAGGAGCTGAAAGGAGAATTATGAAAGGCTCATCATCTACTTGACAGAACTGAGGAAAACAGGGTATGGAAACTTTAGTTTTCCCCAGGCGCTCCTCTTCTACCCCCAAATAGAAACACTTCCCTCCATGTTTTTTAACTAAAGGTTTTGTTATACCAGCTAGTGCTACTGCCTTTGGTGTTTACAGAACCATTGTCCAACACCAGCACTGGTCCCAGTCTGAGTGCCCTCACATGCATTTTAGAGAAGACAAATCTCTCATCTACAAAGAGAAATTCAACTCTTATCTTTCCCCAGTGGGAATACCTGGAGATACATGCCTCTGGACATGCAGTTCTACAGCAGGATTAACTGTTACACTTTGAAATTCCCAAAGGCAGCCAAGGTTAACCATCCTTTGTGTCCAAACACTCCTGTAAGGAATCTGGGAAAAGACTAGGGCGTGCTGCACTCAGTCTCCTAGACACGAGGAGAAAAATGCCACCCTTCATGTGCTCAACAATGCCAATATGATTGACACTAATCTTCCAGTCTCTCTTCCCATGCAGTTGGCAGGTAGTGGAAAAGGCTCAGTATTTGGGCATAATTTGATGCCTCCACCATGGTCCTAGACTTCAACTCGGTTATTTCCTCACCTGTAATTGCAGGGATGCATGGGCGAAGAGCTGGGATAGGGACGGTCCACAAAGTGGTCAATGATAATCCCCATGATAGGAGGGGTCCTCTCAAACTGCCTGCAAGGCAACAAGCAATGGTGTTATTGGTAAGGCTGCTTTCACTCTCTACTCTCATCCCAGTTCATGGTTCCCTCACAGAAAACACTCCTGCCTCTTAATGGGACCAGAGCATCTTTACAATTCAGGCCTGCAACTCCAAGCATGCATCAACAATTTGGAGTTCTAGAGTCTGGCTCAGGGCTACCCAAGACTTAAGCATGACAGAGAGCCTTCTCCATGAAAGAGAATTTCAGCAGGAAAGCAGAAGGGAAAGATTTAGGGGCTCATAATATGAGGGATTTAATAGTACGTTATTGTAAAACAATTTCTGGGTTGATCACGTTTTCTCACCTGGTTGACATGAAAGCAAGGTTGATTCTGTAGGCACAAGACAGAGTGATGGTGCCCACTGGGGTACCCACTGTCCCAACACGGACTGTCTGGAAACCTGTAAGGTTAAGGAATGGTTATCAGTTTCACTGATTATCTATGTTCCATACTGCCCTATTCTGAGGTCACGTTATCTTATTTCTATAGTGCTTCTGTTATGCCTTGCAATCTGGACTCCAAACCCACATATAGACCTGATAAGAAAACATCAGCACCAGGTTGCCTTGCTGGTAGGCTTCATCTACAAGACTTTTGATGTTGCTTCCTGTCTTGGTCTAAAATATTGCTCTGAAGTGCTTCTTGTTCCTGAGTAGATCGTGATCTCCTTTACCAGTCCTGCCCCTTATGAACATACCTCCAGATTCTTATTTCTGTTCTGAATCACTAGAGTCAAAATGGTATTTTAACACCCTAGACTTTGTCAAAGTGCCACCATTATACCCCTCACCTTATGACATGACCCTTCACTGATAGATCCAGATACAAAACCTCAGGCTTAATTTTCCTTGTGGCACTTAGGAGTAGTAACAAAAGGCTCTCCAGTACAGAAAACAGTTCTGCTCTAGTTTGTGTATGTTGCTTAACCATACCTTCTCCCAAGCCGCTCAGTTGCACTTCACCAAAATATATCCTGCAGAAAAAGGAAAAAGAAAAGGTATTAGGTCCAGTGAGGACATAATGCTATGCATATCCCTATTCCTTATTTAATTTTATGAGTTGAAAGGTTGAATCCACTTTTCCTCTATAGAAAAAAAACCCAACAAAGTAGAGGCTAGAACGCCCATCTCAAAAAAACCCTTCCAGCTACTTCAGAGGAAGCCATATCAGCTAAAAAGGAAGAGAAAATGGCAGTGTAATCAGAAATTTCTCTAAGGTTTTTAAGTCTCTGTGGCAAGTCTAGAGTTCAGAGCAAAAATGTGAACTGATACAAACTTCACGGAAAGGTCCGAGTCAAAAAGCTGATACTTATCACACAATGTAAAAGAATAACTGTACTGTAAAGAGACCTGCTCTTAAACATATCTCAACCAGCAATGGAAGCAAAACTGAAGAAAGGGATGGGATTTCTTTTAAAGTTCTCACCTGTACAAATGATAAGAAACCTGAGATTTAGAATCACCTAAATTAGCTATGCAAACATGTCAAAGACTTTTAGAAAAGTAAAAACTAAAGACTGGAAGGTGATAACCATGAACCACGAGGCAGTCAGATCTCACAGGCTAAACAGAGTTGAACTGAGTATTTGGAAGAGTAAACTGCAAGAACTACAGGATGTGGAGCTGAGGATGCACCTTTAAAATGGAAGAGCAGGAGGGAATCTGAACCTATACTTCAAAAATATGCATTGCAGCTATGTGCAACATAGACTGGCATTTATCAAGTCCAGGCCAGACACCGAACAACTGGAGGATGCTGATGAGCAATTTAGCTGCTGCCTGCATGTAGTATTTTTGTGCTCTTCTCAACATGGTAGGCAAACAACAATACTTTACAGCCTGGGCTTAGTTTTTCTTTTGAAGGGTCAGATGGAGGGTACAGGGTGATATTCAGCCCAAAGTTCTCTTCTGTAACTGATCAGTAGTAGTTAAATCCAAATAATTTGCATTTATATCACTCCTCCCTTTTTACGACATGTGCAGCTGCACTGTGCAAGTCTAGAGTCTCTGCTGTTTGTATTTCAAACGAGGGATTTCATATTGTGCTTTACCTGTACAATATTACATATTCATGGCCTTGTTTCCTTGAGAGTCTGTAGGCTGGAGTTACCCTGGTTATAGCAAGCAAAGACTTCAGCAGTAGAGACAGCCTGTTGTATACGGTGTACGAAACCTTGATTTCTTTGTCACATCTATAGAATACAAAGGAAAAAATTAGTTGCTTGCTCTCAAGCAAGGGGGTTTGGGTTTGCTGTCTGTTCATTTTTGTTTGGTGGTTTTTGCTTTTTTAAAACAATTGGCCCAGATCTGTTTTGGTTTATGTCAGTTTTATTGCCAAAATGATATAATAAGCCCTGGTGTGGCTAACTTTTATTGACTGACCAGCTAAGAGTCCTCCTTCAATCTAGTCACCTGTTGAGGTAACTGCTGATAAATGCCATGCAGCCTTCTAGTAGATAGTAACATCTTTTCAGTATGAAAAACATTTGTAGTTACTGAGTATATAAATTCTTGTATCTGAGGAGTCATACTAATTGTAATGAAGAAGGAATAAAATTATTTATTTCTTTCCTTTGCACCAATATTAAACAGTTTGGCTGCTGCACTAGACAGAGGGGACTTCCATCTCACGTGTCCCAGGCTGCACAGCCAAATATGTGCTCATTCATCACCGTGGACTGAGCACACTTCCTTATTTCATCAGCTAAAACAAACACACACACACGAATAAAGCGTGAAGAACGCACTTACTTTTCATTCATTTCTAGACACCAAATTTCCAGCTCCATGGAGTCCCCCTGGATGACAGAAAGGACAGCAAACAAAGGCTCATTTCAGAACACAACGCTTTTCACGTGGCTCAGCAACAGCCACAGCTCTCAATGAAGATGTTTCTCCTGGCTCACACTCTCCTGTCATGCAACAGTAGAAAAAGGTGCACTGGAAGTCTCGCTGCATAACTAGATCACTTAGGGGAATACCCTTTTCCAAATGGCTAAGCTCTTCATGGTCTAAGAAACTAAATTTTCCTGTTCTGTTATTTGTGTGTTTGGCCTCAGGTACTTCCAATGAATTGTTTCTGTTGAACAATTAATTTCTTTTCATTAGCATACTACCTAACTTCATAAATTAATATATTTTCACATTGTCTTGGACTAGAGGGCAGGAGCTCCGGTAGGTACCTTAAGATTCAAGTTTAAAAAAAAAAAAAAGCATCTATTTTGACTCAGTTCTCACCTCTGAGGTTTTGAGAGAGATCTCCACGCACATAGACCGTCCAACAGCAGGCAGCTGTCCTGCCAGGGCTTTCTTTGCTTCATGAGTAACCTCTGGTATATCTTTGATTGCCAAATTGAACTGCAGAACGAGAGAGATTATTCCATTTCTTTATTTCTTTGAAAAGCTGCCTAATGGTACACTGCAGACAAACTCACAGACCCACATATAACGTACTAGGTCAGCGTCTGCTGAAATATTTATGAAACAAAAAATTCCCAGATGGACTCAGGCGTTTCACATTTGCAAACATTTCCTTGGCTGCTAATTCAAATGGTTTTCTTGATCCTGCCATAAAAATCATGTTCCTTTTCCTTCGCTTGAGTCTGATTTTTTTTTTATTTTTTTTTCACCCACAGAGAACCTTGGGTCTCTTCAATTTTAATAAAGCCCATTACTTACACAGTCCTGAACTGCAGAGCTGCAAGCTGCTGACCGAGAAGAACCCATCACCCCACCCCCAGCAGATCTTGGAACTGCACCTTGGCTGGCAGGAGCTGCTCTGAGGTATCGTTTATCTCTCCTCTCATCAGCCCTTAAGAGCCCAGAGTGACATGTTGCATGTCAACAACAACCACAAAAAAAAAAACAACCCACCACCAATGAGCAGAATTGAATACAGTAGTTAGTCTATGAATAGTTATTATAGTCTGCACAAGATTATAACAACTACATCGTGTTCTCAACACACACAAAACACACCCAATAGCCATGGAGTTGCTTTAAAAACTATGACTTTACCCAGTCAGAGCCTGTTGGGGAGGATGATGATCGGGTACAGATTTTCTCTCCAAGTCGGGCCTGGACAATTACTTGTACCGTCTGGAATAGAAAGGAAAAAATAAAACATTCATGTTTTGAGCTCAGCTGGGCCCTCAGTTCAGAGCCTGAGCTAGACAAATTCCAAGTGAAAAAAAAAAATGAAAGGCTAATCTTCAGGTGTAATCAACTTCAAGTATTACATATAACAGGTAAAGCTATTTCAGACAGAAAATAATTTTAAGCTGACCTTTCTCGGTAATGACACGAAGTGACTAAGTCAATTTTGTGAGCAGGAGTTGCAGAGATTTTGGGAATACTTAAGCAAAACTTACAACTATATCCTGAGACTGGACACACAAACGTGAGTCAAGTGCATCTGTACTTTTATAACGTAGTCATTGTCAGAGTAGCTACTTGCATCTATGTAGCAAGTGAGGCCAAATTTTATAATTACCTATCAACATAATTCAAAAGAACATTCTTCTGTTCCTGCTTTCAGATGCAATGCAAAAATTTAGATAGGCTGGAAAGAGAGAGTGGAGTCCAACAGAAGATACTACCCAACAGCTGGATGTGTTGGTAAGAGCCCAAATCTGACTGAGGTGTGAAGTGCCTCTAAACAGATTCTACAGCAGGATTTGAAGGTTAAAAAAAAAAAAGGGGAAAAGATGTTTTTCTAGTTATTCTCAGGAATCTCCCAGATTTGCCATCAGGTTTTCTTGGTCTTTAGCAAAAACAAACAAAAGAACCCCAACCCTGTTTCTCTAGACAGAGCAGATATGGCTAAAAAAAAAGGGGGAAAAGATGTTTTTCTAGTTATTCTCAGGAATCTCCCAGATTTGCCATCAGTTTTTCTTGGTCTTTAGCAAAAACAAACAAAAGAACCCCAACCCTGTTTCTCTAGACAGAGCAGATATGGCTTTTCTTAAATAGGAATTTGCCCAAAGTAGAAAAAGTTACCTTTAAAGCAAAAAATTTGATGAACTTGTCCAGGTCCTTCCTGTCCTGGGAACTGAGATCAGTGTCCATTGCATATGGCAATCTGAAATACAGCACAGGCATGGGAATGAAGCCTTCCTTCAGCTTTCCTTTGGATTTCAAGATTTCAAAATATTTTGCCATTAGAGGTACCTCGAGAGAAATGAGAAGCACCAAAGGCTGCTGCCTGTCAAAATTCTAACATGCTAACAGCTTTTTGGGGTAAGGTATAAACAGGCATGAATAGTTTATCTGGTCAGTGCAAAAGATACTAGAAAAGAAACAACCAAGGGGTCTCAAAATTAAAACTGGGTAGAAGTCCTTCAATTTTGCTAGCTTAATTAAAAAAAAACAAAAACAAGAAAATGCCAAAAAACTCCAAAACACCCCGTGGATGTCACCCACACTGACTGGATTCTATACCAAGTTATCCATCAGACATGGCATTCTCTGCTTCAAAAATAACAAATATTTGGTTATCAGGACTGGTCAAAACCAAGCCAAATTGTCTTCTTGAGTCTGAAATTCTAAAAACAGTATTTCCAGTGGTATTTCAGCAGATACTGAAATCTAGGTAATAAACCATTGCTGGAACGGGCTGCGCTGCTTCTTTACTTCCAACAAATAGTACTTGCAGTAAACTTAAACTTGTACAGCATCGAATTTACCTGCAAGCAACTGAAATGATAGATTTTTGCCAAGGGATAGACCAAATTCCTCTGTTTGCTTCTCTTGAAAGCTCTGCCAACAAATACTTAGCTCCCACATTGGCTCTCCCTTGTTTTTCTAACGTAGGATTGTTTCTAGCAGTACAATCAACTCGTCACGTGCCCCGGGATAAATCACGATTTCTCTGTCTCCCAGTTTCTTCACGTGTAACTTAATAATCATATAGAGACCACGGGGAGGAATGCCTTAATCAGCAGCATTAATTGTACTTTTTTTTTTTTTTTTTTTTGCTCCTAAGTCTTCAAAGTGCAAATTTGCTTTTAATTCCTGTTGCTGTTTTTGCTTTCAGACAGCCCATTGGCCTGAAGCAGCTCGTCAAACACCGCATATTTACGGAACACGCTGCTCCTCAGGGAAAGGCTGGCAGCCTAAGGTCAGTGAGCAGGAGCAGGAGCAGCTGCTGTGCACGAGATCACTCTCCTCACCCTTCCATCTGTAAGCAAAGACTCAACTTGCAGCCAGGTACGTGGTTTATACAGACTAAAGTGTAGCAGGACAAAGGGGCTACCAGCCCTGATCACACAGAAAATAGCGTATCATCTTTAACAACCACACATATCCCAAACTTGTATTTAAAATATCTCACTTAATGTGCTTATCATTTAAAATATCTCACTTAAATGCTGATTCGAAGTAATGTTTTTAGGAGCATCACCCAAGAGGGCTGCTAGATAAGAGTACTGTGATTTATACAGCATTTTATAGAGAAGAGTGCTGCGTTCTGAATGACTCCAGAAAAAGAAAGCTGGACATCTATATGGTTGAAAGTTCCTAGGTTACATTCACACTGCCTCTCCTAGGGCTGTACTGGTCTCATTACACATTTTAATTGAGTTTGAGAACTAACAACACAAGCGATGCAACGTTAGCTGCGTTAACAAATTATCCTTTGGATATTTTAACCTCCTCATCAAAAGTATTATACTTACTTTCACTGCCTTTACCTCCACTAGAGAGAGAATACAGATCTTTTCTACTGTGGAAGGGATGCAAAAGGAAGTCAGCACTTAAAAGCACTAGATGTTTAATTGATGCAGCACTCTAACTTTAAAAAAAAAAAAAAAGGCTTTTGGTATAGACACTACCCACTACAAAAAAATAGGTGAGAATGACCTGTTATTATTCTTTTGACTTAAGTAGAACATTTTAAGGGTTGAGGGGGTCCAAGATCTACAAAAAAAACCCTGATATGGGCAATAAAGAATTCTGGAATTGATTATTCTGGAAAAGAATTCTGCTATTAATTATTGCAGTTTGGGAACTAGTGAAAGGTGTTAGGGTCACTGGTCTGTTTGGAAAGGAAACAAGGCAGATCATCAGCATGGTTCTCTGTGCAGTACAGGAATCAGTTTTAATGACTACAGACCCAAATATCTCTGGAGAGGAGAGAAACAGCCACCAGAGCCACATCTTAGGTTCAGGGCTCAAAGAATGAGAGCCTCACTGTTCTGCCCTGCTGCAGCAGAGCTGGGATTCTTCCTGCAAGATCTCAAACTATCTGTAACATTCATGAGACTTCTGGAGATTCATACTTTCTTTTATCTCTCAAGCTCCAAAATGCCTGCAACAGTTGACCTGCCAGAGCCTAAAGTAGAGCAGAAAGTATCGGGCAAGCTTTCCTGTCAGGAATCTGTAATTTCAGGGGGAATCTGGGGCCTTGGAACTCGGCTCCTGATGTATCAGAGGACTGTCATCTGATGACCACCATCTCATTTTTGCAGGAGGAGCTGTGGTGATTGCCTGAGATCTGCTAAGGCTTAGGAACAGCGTTCACCTTTAGAATCACTCTTGGTAAGAGTCAAGACGGGCCTAGAATTACAGCAAATTTACAAAAATGCCTCGGTAGCCTCAGGTTAGCTGCCACCAGCTGACCTGAACAGGAAGGAAAGTCTTTAAACATAGTTCCACCAAACTCATTCAACTTCTCAGGTTCCTGTAGGTTGCAATGCCAGCACGGCTCCTTGTTGAGTGCCGGTATCCAGGCATACGCTTAGCTCAAGGAAGGCACTTTCTAATTTTGCACTGAGTAACAACTAGAAGGAAATAACCTTTGGTGTAGCTTAGAAACCTAGGGATGACTGATTCCCCCTCAATCAAGTAATCCCTTAAGTAAACTGATACCGCAGGGCTTTAGCCTTACACATAGGCTGTTCACAGGTAAAAACAAGCATCCTGGCCACACGGCTTTTCGCTTTGTCTCCCTCTCCCTGCAACATCCATTTTCATACTAATGCCTTTATTTATATGTCTTTGTCTCCACTTTCCTCCGAGCAGAAACGTCAGAGACAGACATTCAAGGAGAACTGTCACACGTGGGTGGCTCTTTTTTGACTAGAGCCTTATATTCTTTCTCACAAGGTTACGAGGCAGAGAAGAACACCGGGCTTATCCAACAGTTTAATATCTAAGCGTTAACATTGTGCCTTACAAACTCTCCTGGTATTTAAACCTCTCCTTCTCCAAGGAGAAGGACACATCAGCGTAAGCTGACGACACCCTATTTGCATGATGCAAGGAACTGCAAGAGCCCTCCCCTTTGTGCCTTGCTACAGCCCAGGGAAACTACAGCTCCAGCCCCACTGCCTGCCCAATACCTGTAACCTGGGCACACCACCGGTGCACAGTGACACCTGGGAACAGTCAGTTACACTAAGAAAAACACACACTAAGAAAGCATATACAGGCTGCTCCCACCACTCCTTCCTCTGAGATCTCACTCCGAGCCATGGCTGCTACAACTTCAAGTCACTGTGCTTTCCTTTCAAGCAGGTATTTGCCAACGCAAAGCGATTACTCATGGTTCCTACCCCAGAGTGAAATTAAAGAGAAGAGGGAAGAACCAAGCAAGGCTGTCGCTCTAAAGAGAGGGCTGTGAGCACCTCTCATCCCACTTGTACCTTCCCAGTTACCCCACTGCTCCCCCCAGACTGGGCTCCTTGTCCCCACCACTCTATCAGAACTTCTTGGCAAATACAGGACCCAAATCCAACCTCCGAGGACGTCCCACGTGAAGCTCCAGAAAAGTCTTCACTGAATCATGCAGCAGGTAAACAAGCAGCGCGTGGAAGTTTTTGAAGCTTTTAATAGAGTGCCTTTGATAAATGGGCTTGACTTCCAAGAAAGCTTTCCTAGAACGACCAAGAAGCTCCACTGCAAGCAGGTATTTTGAGCACATTAATAAGCAACTATAAAAAGATCTCCACAAAGACGGCACTCTGAAGGCTGGGCCTACAAGTCAAACCCCGGTATCCTACAATTACTTAAAATTAATCTCCATTTTGCCTTCTTAGTAGGTTAGTCAGAAACCTGGTGAGAGGGAGGGAACAGTTCTAAATTTGAAAGTGTGCTGCTCTCCTTCTTCAAAGTTTAGGGATTTTTTAAGAGAAGACTAGAGTAGATTTTAGCAGAAAAACTGTTTCGCATAATATAAATATTCTGATGAAATCAAAGGCTCTCTCAATCATCAGAATCAAAGTAGCTCAATATATGGTTAAGTTCTGACTGATAAAGAGGCAATTCTTCCCACTAATCTGGAAATATATTTACTTCATAACCGATAAATGACTTCCCAGCTTAGGAGAGATCTTATAAAAGCCAGCACTGCCAGCTCCACTGGCTTAAAACCAAAATTAAGTAATTCCTGTTGACCGGCAGTTACATTCTGTACTCCCCTGAGCTCTATAAATGGTGTCAGTTCAAAGGTCCCTCCTCTCATTTTGTTTGTCAGCCCACAGCACGCAGACTACACCAGAGCCTGCTCCCACGTACCCTGTACTACAACCAGCAATCCCATCACCGGGGCTCAACGTCTGGGGGAATACGTGCTCAGGAAAGTTGAGATGATCCAACACCATTTAAGCAAAACCAGGTGATCCTGTACGATCCTTCCAGACACCTAAACACAGCCTGGCTCACCCGAATGACTTATTTCTTGCCACAAGGAGGATTCTACCAGGTCAGGCCACTCCCGCGATAATTTGGAGATGCTCTAAACTTCATTTGCGTAGCCAAGTAATTTTCAGCCAAGGCAGTAATTTACCATGTTTTTTTCCCCCCTTGCGATGTGTCTAGTCATGCCACTTTTGAGATTTTTAAGTAGGCAGTTTGTAGGTTTAGTCCAAAGCGTCCCTTTTCTACCTGTTCTGGGTAGAAAGACCAGGTGGTGTGGCCAGTCTACTGGCTGGGAAGGTGTCTCTGCTCCCACCGAATCGAGGGGGAACATCTCTGGTGGGTTCCTGAGGTAGAACTCTAGGCCATGAGTTGTAAACCACCCCCTGATCTTTCCTGACAAGACGCCAAATTCATGGGCTACGGGGAGACGATACGATGGGAGTTCTGATGGTTCAGAACAGTCTTCCAGGGATTTTGATTTCATTAAAAAGCCACCACCTCGAGAGGTTCTGCTGGGCCGCAACCTTCTTCCCTTCCCCCCGACGACACCAGCTGCCCCGAAAACTCCTGTCAGGGCAGGGGAGCCAAACTGAAGCGGAGACACCAACCCCCAGCCCAGGGCTTCGGGACCCACGTCCCGATTCCCGCACACCCCTCCCCACCGAAGGCCTCCCCGGTGCTCCTTCCCCGGCCCCGGGACCCCCCGGCCCGGCCCCGGTACCTGCGCGGGGGCGGCAGAGCTGGCGGCGCGGCGGCTCATCCCGCGCCGAGGCCCGCTTGCCCGAGGGGGGGCCCGCCGCCCCGCTCCCCCGCCGTCTCCTCAGCGCCCCGACCGAGGAGGTCCCCAAGGCCCCGCTCTTCAAGCTCCAGGGGCCCCGCGGCCGCCTTGGGGCTCCGGCCAGCGCCCCTCCGCCTCCTCCTCTTCCTCCTCCCTCCCGGTCTCGCTGCCGGCTGGGCCGCGGCTGTCAGCGCCTGTGGGGACGCGGGGGTGGCGGGAGGGGGGGTGGTGTCTGGCTGCCCGCTGTCCTCAGAGCCGCGGCCTGCTCGGTACCGCCGCCGCCATCGCCGCCGCTGTTTGTTTTCATCCGCTGCGGGCGGAGGGAGGGAAGGAGGTGCCTGGGTGTCTGCGTGTCCGCGGCGGCACTTTCCACACGGAGCCGCCGCCGTCCCTCCGCGCCCACCCGCAGAGAAGGGAGCCGAGGCCGGGATTAAGAGGGGTACCCCCTCTTTTCCCTTCTCCGCCCTCGCCCGCCGGGACCCCCCCCTTTTCTCCCCCCGCCAATTCTGTGGCGAATCTGCCGCGGCGGCGCGGCGGTAACGGGCGGCGCGGGCTCCTCGGGCCGGTAGGGCCGGGTGGGCGGCTGGAGGGGGCCCAGGGCCGGTGGCGGGGGTGGCCCCGCCGCCCCTCAGCGCGCAGTGACGGAGGGAGGGTGTGTGTGTGTGTGTCCCGAATCGCCCACCGGCAACGGGGTGAGGAGGAGGAGGAAGAGGGGGGCGACCGGCGGTTGGTGTCTCCCTCTGCCCTCCCGGGGTCGGAGGTAGCCGGGTGAGCGGGGAAGGGTCCCCAAGCCCCGGGAAGCCGGGTGCTGCGGGGGACACCGGCCCCAGGGAGTAAATTCCTGTCAGGGCCGGCGGGGCCCCCCCGCTTTGGGCCTGGCAGGGTTGTGGGGGGGGTTGCCCAGGGAAGTTGTGGGTGCCCCATCCCTGGAGGGGTTCAAGGCCAGGCTGGATGGGGCTTGGAGCAACCTGGTCTGGTGGGAGGTGTCCCTGCCCAGGGCAGGGGGGTGGAACTGGATGGTCTTTGAGGTCCCTTCCAACCCAAACCATTCTGTGATTGTCAGCTCCACAGTGAGCCCCCCCACCCCCCCAAAATGCTTCGACCCCCTGCGTGTAAAAAAAGATATAAAGGAGTAAAAGGATTTGTTGCATAACCCGAGCGGTGATGGAGTCTGAAAGGCTGAGGGGGTAAAACCCACCCTGAGTCTCCTTCCCCTTGGCTTCGTGCAGGTGGAGGCTGCGGGGAAGCCCCAGGGGAGCCCCCGGCTGTTGGCCATGGCCGTACCTATTGCCGTTCTTGACTGCGACCTCCTGCTCTACGGCCGCGGACACAGGACTTTGGATCGCTTCAAGCTGGAGGATGTCACGGACGAGTATCTAGTGTCCACCTACGGCTTTCCCCGACAATTCATTTACTACCTGGTGGATCTTCTAGGAGCCAGTCTCTCTCGCCCTACACAGCGGTCCAGGGCCATCAGTCCGGAGACGCAGATCCTTGCTGCACTGGGTTTCTACACCTCCGGCTCCTTCCAGACTCGCATGGGGGATGCCATTGGCATTAGTCAAGCCTCCATGAGCCGCTGCGTGGCCAACGTGACCGAGGCGTTGGTGGAAAGAGCCTCGCAGTTTATTCGCTTTCCTGAGGATGAAGCTATGGTTCAGAGCCTGAAGGATGACTTTTATGGGCTGGCAGGCATGCCGGGAGTGCTGGGGGTGGTCGACTGCACCCACGTGGCAATCAAAGCGCCAAATGCCGAGGACCTGTCCTACGTGAACCGAAAGGGTCTCCATTCTCTGAACTGCCTGATGGTGTGTGATGCCAGAGGAGTCCTCCTGAGTGCAGAAACGCACTGGCCGGGCAGCCTGCCCGACTGCACAGTTCTGCAGCAGGCTGCCCTTACAAGCCAGTTTGAAAATGAGCTACATAAAGATGGCTGGCTACTTGGTAAGTCCATTTTTCATCGTCATTTTTGGCAGACAGCCTCTTAAACGTTGGCTCCTCTTTGAGTCTAGAGCCTCCGAGCCCAAGTCACACCTCTACTGCTGGTGGCTTTCCTGCAAATTCCTGGATATTTGTGATTCAGTTTGGACGATCCTTGTCTTAGAAGTCTAGGACAAGAACTTCCAATCTGTGTTTTATGCCATCTGATTATTCTATGTATGAATTTAAATTCATTCTGTTAGGACCTTGTTTTCAGTATCCTACGATCGGAGTAGGAATCCTACGATTCAGCCTTTCTAAGCTGAATTGTGCAATTTTGAATTCTGTGTAGGGTTCCAGTCCAGCTGTCTTTCATTATGGTATGTAGCAAATGAATTCTCTTAAAACTCTCTGGTGTTCTTCCAGGAACACCATGTTTGTCACGTTTGTAAACCTGAGCTATACGTGTTTTCTCGTGCCTTCTGTTTTAACCATGGAAATAAGGTATTCTCTATCTGCCGTGCCAGAAGACCAAGGGTGAGGAACTGCAGTCTGTGACTAACTGTAGGTACGTAACCTGTCCTCCTCCTCTTCCCTGCTAACAGTATCTGCCATGCCAGAAGACCAAGGGTGAGGAACTGCAATCTGTGACTAACTGTAGGTACGTTAACCTGTCCTCCTCCTCTTCCCTGCTAACAGGTGACAGCTCCTTCTTCCTCCGCACGTGGTTGATGACCCCTCTGCATATCCCGGAGACACCCGCAGAGTACCGTTACAACATGGCCCATTCTGCCACTCACAATGTCATCGAGCGGACGTTCAGAACCATCCGGTCGCGTTTCCGCTGCCTGGATGGCTCCAAAGGCACCCTGCAGTATTCTCCAGAGAAATCCAGCCACATCATTCTGGCCTGCTGCGTGCTTCACAACATCTCCCTGGAACACGGGCTGGATGTGTGGTCTTCGCCGGCCACAGGACACATGGAACAACCAGAAGAAGAGTACGAGCAAATGGAATCAATGGACTCGGAAGCCTGTCGTATTCGTCAGGAGCTTTTACTTACACATTTTAGCTAACGTTGTGACAGAGAGAAGGCTTCTAACGGTTCATCTGGGAAGATATGCAGAGCAAATATGCCCCTTCCTTCTTCTTTGAGCCTGTAAAGACTAAGCAGATGTTAAGACAAGGAGAAATTTTACTCTTTTCATTCCAGGCGGCATTCTGAACTTCTCTCGGTCTCTCCGGAGATGCAATTTAATTGCTAAATTTTTACTGTTGTAATGCTTAGAAACTCCCCTTTCACCTGAGTTAGAGAACAAGGACTCGTGAGATCAGTGGAGAAACTTGGGAAATCGTCTTTGATAGCGATGAAAAACGTGTAAGCCTTGCGCTGTTTTGCAAAGCAACAATTCTGTGCCACTTTGTAACCCCCGGTACTTGTGATGGGTTTTTAAACAGCATTTCACACAGATTAAACTTCCACGTGGGCTCGGGGCCGCCCTGAATTCACGAGCAGCAAAGCAAACATCTTCTCTTTGTGTTTGCAGGTACAAATTCTTGCTAAATGCGATTTTGTGCGTCTCTCAAAACCCAGTGATTCCTCTGAAAGCTGACAGCTGTGTTCTGGGAGGGCTCTGCCTTTTTTGCTGGGTACACACTAGTGCTTGCGGGTACCCAGGAGGTCTAGGAGGGTTGAATGTTTCTTCTTTCCCAAACAGACCGGAGAAGATCCTAACCTACGGTTGGGTCAGCTACTTAATCAGGAAATGGGCTAATGAATCTAAGTCTAGTTCTGTCGAGAGGTGTCTGCCACAGCAGAAAACTACTGCACATGTTGGCTGCTGTGAAAGAAATGCCAAGGACTGGCTGGGTCATAAAAATGGAACCAATTGCAAAAGTTCTCCGTTTAGATCAGAGCTGAGGTACAGACAGAAAGGCTGCTCTGCCTCTTCAGTGGAAAAAAGTCAACTGACGCCTGCAGTTGTTGCTGGCACAAAACCGGGAAGTTTCCTGGCAATGTCCTCGTTCCAAAAGATGCAAGTGTTTCCAAGGATCTCTTGACAGCAGTCCTAGAAAATTTTCTTAGATTTCATTGTTTGCTGGGCAGTAAATGAAACAAAAGTGGTAGGGGATGTAGAGTGCTGGAAAAACGTGGCTGCTTGAGGTAGCAGCGCAACCATAGAATCATAGAATAATGGTTAGAGTTGGAAGGACTTTAAAGATCATCAAGTTCCAACCCCCCTGCCATGGGCAGGGACACCTCCCACCAGACCAGGTTGCTCCAAGCCCCATCCAGCCTGGTCTTGAACCCCTCCAGGGATGGGGCAGCCACAGCTTCTCTGGGCAACCTGTTCCAGTGCCTCACCACCCTCTCAGGAAAGAATTTCTTCCTGAGATCTCATCTAAATCTCCCCTCTTCCAATTAAAAACCATTACCCCTTGTCCTGTCACTACACTTCCTGACAAAGAGTCCCTCCCCAGCTCTCCTGTAGCCCCTTCAGATATTGGAAGGCTGCCATAAGGTCTCCGTGGAGCCTTCTCTTCTCCAGGCTGAAGAACCCCAGCTTTCTCAGCCTGTCTTCATAGGAGAGGTGCTCCAGCCCCTCTGATCATCTTCCACTGGACCTGTTCCAACAGGTCCATTTCCTTCCTGTGTTGAGGACTCCAAAGCTGGACACAGTGCTCCAGGTGGAGTCTCACGAGTACAGGTCTCACGAACCATCTGTCACCACAAGGTCTGTCTGTCCTTGTAGAGGAAAGGAACAGGTCTCACAAACCATCTGTCACTGCAAGGTCTGTCTGTCCTTGTAGAGGAAAGGAGCCTGGATTGTGCCCCAGGTTTGAGGAGCAGGGAAGTATGGGACACCTTCCTAAGTGTAGGATGGGGATGTGGGATTAGATACAGATATATTAGATGCACAGGGTTGGCATGGCATAAGCACCTCCTGCTGTATAGAAAGCCAAGCATGCTTTGTGACATGTGGGCAAGATGTTCTCACAAAGCCTTGGTGAGAACTGTAAAATATTATGTACAGCAATCTGAGATGTAACGTTGTTTCTTGGACGCCTCTTCCCGTGAGGTACCGTGTGAGAACTGCTGTTGCTCACTGTGGCAAACTGGGAAGAATCATACAAGCATTATTATTTTTTTTTTTTTTTTTAAAAAAAAGCATTTTTAAGGTAGGAGTTGCTGCCATCCGTGGTGCCTGGTGGCTCATAATCCTATCTGGTGGGTCTGTGCTAAAAATACTGATCTTTAGACCCAAACTCCAGCAGACACGGGGGGAGCCATGCGGGTCAGATGGGATGTGGAAAACAACTTCACGGAATAAGGAGCTGGAGTTTCTCAATTTGGGTTATGAATGGCTCTTCCCGGCACGTGCCCAGACCGGGCTGAACTCAAAACTGGGGAGGCTTTTCCCAGAACACGTTGGTTGCCCAGTTTTGTCTTCCTTCAGCCACTCTCCCTTCTCGGTGGAGTTGTACCTTCAAAACTGACCTCACCACTTGTCAGTTTGGGTAACAACTCCAAGGTTCCCGGGCGACCTGCTCTGGGTGGACTTGCTTTGGCAGGGGATCTTGGACTCGATGACCTCCAGAGGTCCCTTCCAACCCCTGATCATTCTGTGATTCATCCAGAATTTCCTCTTTCCCCTCGGGTTTAGACAATATTTAAGCTTGGCAGCTCGAGGTCCGTGGTTCTTCTTCGCTGTCCCCTTCCTCTGTCCTTTGTCTCCTCTCCCAAAGGACTTCCAGCTTTGCCCCTTGCTTTGAAAAGCCCACCCTGACCCTGTAATGTCCTCTAAACCTCTGACATCTCTTGGGGGGTGGCGGTTTCCACCACTTGACACAATTCCTTGTAAAAATCTGCCTTGTGGATTCAAATCCCCCTCCCCCGGCTCTCACACCCCGCACCCCACACCCCCCATACAGCTGGGGGCAGGAAGACAGAATCACAGAATCTTCTAGGTTGGAAGGGACCTTAAAGATCATCTTATCCAACCGTCAACCTGACTGACAAAAATAGACACCCACACAACAAACAAGGAGCATCATCACTAAACCATACCTCCCAGCACTACATCAACCTGTCTTTTGAACCCCTCCAGGGATGGGGCCTCAACCTCCTCCCTGGGCAGCCCATTCCAATGCCTGATAACCCTTTCAGTGAAAAAATTTTTCCTAATATCCAGCCTGAACCTCCCCTGGCGCAACTTGAGGCCATTTCCTCTTGTCCTGTCGCCTGTGACTTGAGAAAAGAGACCGACCCCCACCTCTCTACACCCTCCTTTCAGGGAGTTGTAGAGAGCACTAAGGTCTCCCCTCAGCCTCCTCTTCTCCAGGCTGAACACCCCCAGCTCTCTCAGCCTCTCCTCACAAGACTTGTGCTCCAGACCCCTCACCATCTTTGTTGCCCTTCTCTGGACCCGCTCCAGCACCTCAATAGCAGTCTCCCTCGGCCACTCGCTCCTCTTGTGTCTTCATCCTGGAAATTAATTTATCGCAATAAATATTAACACACACACGCACACACACACACACACGCCGCCCTCTGGGCTCGACTCGTCTCGCCTGCCCGGGGTAGCGCCGCCGCGGTTGGAAGAGCTCTTCGCTCGGCTAGCACGGCCTGGCGGGCGTTCGAGCTTCGGCTGCTCGGGCCTTGGTTACCGCTCTCGGCGCCGCTCTTCGGGTCCGGCTCGGCGCTCGGCTGGCTCGCCTGGCCGGAGCTCGGAGCGGCGGCGGCGACGACCCGAGCACTGGCGGCCGCTCCTTCCGGGCCCGGCCCCGGCCCTGGCCCCGGCTCCGCTCCGCCCGCCCGGCACCGGCCCTTCCGCACCAGGTAGGCTCCGGGCCTACGCTCTCAGCCCCGGCTGTAGGCCAGGACCGCCTCGCCTCTCACCCGAGCGGGCGCGGCCGTCCCCTCCCCGCAGCCGGTGGAGGGCGAAACCCGCCGGTGCCCGGGAGGGGAGAGGGGAGGCCTCCGAGGAAGGCGACTCGGAGCTCCAGGAGGTGCAGCGGCCGCCCGCCCCGCCCCAGCGCTCCCCAAAGCCGGGCTCGGGTGCCGCGGGGTTCCCTCTCTCCGTACCCCCCCCCCCCCCCCCCCCCCCCCC